GGCTGGCAAAAGAGAGAGCGAGCATGCCTGAAGCCCTATTTATTGAGAGGAAGACATTCGAGAAAGTTCAACCTAAATAAGACAAGGGATTGGGTTTCAAGGGGTTATTTGATGATGTTCTGTGGTGAGCAGATTAATTGACATCTTGGAAGAGGCCACACCCATCTCAGGTGCTGTGTGGGATCAATGGCAGAGCGAGTGAAAAGGACATACATGTCGCACAGCCCAGACAGAGCAGCAATGACAGTCCACTCCCTTAATGTGCTCAAATGCTCATAGCTCACACACAGAGCCCATGGCTGGCTCACACACACACACACACACACACACGTATATGCATATATTATATACATGTATGTGTATATATATATATATATATATATATTACATTTTTAATACCATTCATCTGATGAAGGGCACTAGGTTGGTTCCATAGTTAGCTATTGTGAGTTGAGCTGCTATAAACATTGATGTGGCTACATTGCTGTAATATGCTGATTTTAAGTCCTTCAGCCACTGACCTATTCTTGTCCCAACTATTTGTGGAAACTTTTAGGAAAAAGTTTTGTCATTGTTTTTCCAAATGGTATCACTGTAGACATATTTTCTTATTCTTCTCTCTTAAAGATTTAACTAGCCATGGTTGATCAGTGTGATACTTCCCATATTATTTTGTTTCTGTGCTAAAAAATTTTATGACATAAAAAGCTCTATGCAGGGGCTGGGATTGTGGCTCAGTGGTAGAGCACTTGCCTAGCACGGGTGGGACCCGGGTTCAATTCTCAGCACCACATTAAAAAAAAAAAAAGGCATTGTGTTGTGTCCATCTACAAAAAAAGATTCTTCATTCTCTCTCTCTCTCTCTCTCTCTCTCTCAAGAAAAAACAACAACAACAACAAAAAAAAAAAAAACCCTCTGTGCATCTTCTTGCTTTTTCCAGGTTCTAAAACTAAACCAAATAGAGTTTCAGTGTATCTCTTCATAAGATTCTTCAGTATCTTTCCATGCTGCTGAGAGTAAAATTAAAACTTTTTTTATTACCTAAAATCTTTGCCTGTTATAGCACACACCTAATTTCTCTTTTAAATGAATGAGGGGGAAAAAAACAATGTCTATGGACTGTGAGTCTGTATGTTTCCAATCTTTTTTCTCAATTCTGAAAATTGATCATATGTATAGTCAAATAGGTTATAGCAACAAAACCTTGGAATTCAGTGGGGAAAGAAAAAGGGAATTTACTTTTATTGAGCACATATAAGTTTCAATAAATATTAGAAACTTTTGTGTATAGGTCAGCCTTTCGAGTCAAGCATTACAATTCTCATTTTTCAGTTGAACTAATGAAGAGTCTAAGTAATTAAGTAATTATCCTACATAGATCTAAAGAGCCCAAATCCATGATATTGAAGTATAGCCAATGTTTATGGTACCAAATAGCCATTCATTTGTTATTTCCTTCAGCAAACATTTACCAGGTGCCAATTTTCTGTTAGTTATTCTGCACCATGCTAGCACTACAGTTGGTAAGTAAAACCCAGAAACGGTCATTGCTGTCTGGAGCATATAGTGTAGTGGAATCTCTGTGATTCAATGAATAATCATGACATTGACTACATTTAATATGCACTTACTGAACTTAACACGTGCTCTGAAGGAATGGGACATAATTCTATTAAAGTCTATTAATATATTTAAAAAGGAACTGAGACTTAAGGACTAAGAAAGGCTTTCCTAAGATTGTAATAATTGATATCTTAAAGAATGAGCAAAAAGAGGCTGTGGTTGTGGTTCAGGGCGGAGCACTTGCCTAGCATGTGTGAGGCTCTGGGTTTGATTCTCAGCACTGCATAGAAATAAATAAAATGGAGGTCCATTGACAAGTAAAACAATATTTAAAAAATATTTTTAAAAAAGTAATGAGCAAAAGTTAAATAGAAGATGAAACAGGAGGTCAAGATAGGCTTGAGTTCAGGAACATGTAAGTGTTTTTGTAAGAACTTTGGAATTTTTTTTTTTTAATTTAGAGGCTGTAGAAGTCAGAGGATAAGAAGGAGAATGCTAAAAGATGCAGAGGGAGAGTAAACATGAGGTTGAAATTGTGGACCACTGTAGATCATGGAAAAATGTATTTCCATGGAAAGGAAATCCGATCTTCCATTAATGAAACATTTGTTAACTACTGAAGTGTCTAGGCCCAAATGTGGGTAGCAATAGATTTAATATAGAATACAGACACAATGGTACAGTGTCACTGAACATACAGTGGAAGCACTTCATTCATTCATCACTTTAGTTTTGATAAATTACCTATAAAGTGCATTCATAAATCCTATTATGTAAGTATCTTTGATTTAATTTAAAATATTAGATCCTGGTGGGATGGTGCACACCTATAATCCCAGTGGCATGGGAGGCTGAGGATAGAAGATCATGAGTTCCCAGCCTGCCTCTGCAAAAGTGAGGCACTAAGCAACTCAGAGAGACCCTGTTTTTAAATAAAATACAAAAGAGGGCTGGGATGTGGCTCAGTGGCCAAGTAACCCTGAGATCAATCCCTGGTACCCACTCTCTCAAAATGTTAAAAATTCAACAGGAATAGGGAAAGGTTTCTAAATCCTAGGAACTGGCATGTGAGTAGCAGGCAAAGGTCCCTGAGAAAGTGTTAACTGAGTTAGGTTTTAAAGATAAGTGGTGATAGAACATTCTCATAGGTGACAAAGAATGGCTGGGTTCCATGAGAGAGTGGGTTCTGTGAGAGAGGTGGGCTGTCCATGAGGAACATGATGTGTAAAGATACATTTGTACCAGATCAGGAAGTTATTTGAAAAAAGTAGCCTAAATAGAGATTACTCCTAAAAAAAATCAACACTGGGACAAGACATAGGAAAACATACAAAGTAGATACACAATGGATCTGCAGAAATCACAATCTTTCTAGAAGAATATACCTCAAATGAGTTGAATGAGATTTCCACAGAGAAAGAGGAGACAGTTTCCATATAACCAAAATGGTGATAAGTTTTATTTTTTCAACTGTGGGTGTGTCCATCCCCATGTTTAACTATTGGGAATAGCAACTCATTATTTTATCAGTCCTTCGACACGCTAAGAGAAGGGTGAAAATAGGCAGCGTTGGCATGTTTCACATGTCTCTTCCATTCACATTATCCACCTTGGGAAGCAAGTATTTGAGCTCTCCTAACAGGACCTTTTGGATAGAGTTCCCTTTGTTGCCTCTATTGCTCTGAAGATAACTTCATTCAATGTGCAGAAGACTGAGATGAGAAGAGGATTCTGGACTCTGAATGCTGATTGTCATGTGTTCCAAGTGTCATCCACCACCTCCATGTTTTTCTCCTGCCTTTGTTTTTGATCTGTTCCCTGTAGTTTGGGGGAAACATCTTTCTATTTTGTTTTTTCTCCTAATTATCGTAAAAGCTTAATATTTCGATTTCCTGCTCACATTCTTCCTTGTTGCAGAAGCTACTCATATGGGGTTGTCTGCTTTATTCTGGCTTTGCTGTGCCTGCACTGAGCGATATAGATGAGTGTCATAAATGAGGCTCTTTCTTGTTTCTTCCTTTCCAAACTTCAATTTGGAGCCAGAAAGCCTCCATTCCTCAAGTGGTGTCTTCAGTTACTGTTTCTTTGTTTCATCCTTTGTTTCTCACTTTATTTCTAACCCATATTCTTAGCCTTTTATTTGCTCAATAGTTCTTTTGAAATATTTCTGATGTCTGGAATCTGTTTCTTAATACTTGTCTCATAGACATTCAAAAAGTGTAATAATAATGCCGTGGCAGTGAAAATGTGGCAAAATTCTTCCAAGTAGCCGTTGCCAGTTCTCGTTTTACAGTTCCTTAATATTGTATTTTACCAGCCACCAGCCTGAACCTTTTATATTTTTTAGGTTTTCTATATCGTTTCCATGATGCAACTTTTTTTTTTCTGATTTATGGCACGCAAAAGATTCCAGGAATATTAAATATGTTTCCAAATAAGGAGTCTTGCTCTCAAGGGAAGAATGAGAGAATCCGTCTTGCTTAAAAAGTCAGTGGCTCTCATGTCATCGCTGAATGGTTCTGTCTGCAATTACTTCTTTTTGCTAAATGTCTCACTCTTTGATCAAAAACAGCCTCCTTTTGATACAACTGGAAAATGTGAATGCTTTTATGCTTAACTTTTAGTTTGGTGGAGTTTTTTTTTTTCTTCCCTTCTCATAGCCTTACATTGGGTTTCATTCATCCCTTTATTGACCATTCAAGGAACACCCCTGGGGTGCTGGCACCATCTAGGTTCTGGAAGAAATGGAGAGCCAGGGGGTCCTGTCAAGCAGAGAAGGCATAGCCTCCACACTCAGTTTGGGAGGGACCTATTCTTTCCTAGCATCCTGGATAATGAATACTATTGAAGAGGGAAGTTCCCTTTTACTTCAAAGGGCGTTTTGTGAATATACGGGACTCCCTGAGGGGCCAAAGAGAAGTAGGCCTTAGAGTGAGAGGGGGTGAAGCTGACTGTTTCAGACACAAGTCCAGTGTAAAAAATATCCCAACAGGAACAAACAGGCAGCATCAGCTGTGTCATATTATGTTGTCTGTGAAGACGGTCGAGGGCAGGATGGGAAGAGAAGGGAAATCAACCCTGCTTAATATTCGGAAGGCACAAGAGATTCCCAACCTAAGTAGAAACAAAGGCGTTGTCTCTGTGCGCGAGTCTGGGACCAGCCAGAAGCAGGAGGGTGAGCTGTAACCTTCCCTCCCATTGAAGACTCTAGAATGTCCACAGAACCATTCCAAAAGAAGCATCAGTGTCTTACAAACCAGCAAAGTATCCCATGGCATTTTTTTCTTTATTGCTTTGTGAAATTGCTTACAATTGGACCCAATTATTGCAAACAAAGAGGCATTGCCCTAGAAAACTTTAAAAAAAAAGAAACATTTTTAGAGATCTATTTTGCCAAATATTGCTATAATGAAACAAATGAAGCATGCATGGATATACAATTGAATATAAAGAAAATAATTTGCCTAAGAGGTGAATATTATGCTAGCAGACAATTATAGATAAATGCTTTGAAAGTTTAAAATCAGTGCTAAGTTATCTAGACAAGCCCTTGTAGGAGGGGTAGTTTCAATTTCTTCACATAACCAATTGTCGGTTAACCTAAATTGTAGTTAATATTTTGGCTTTCATGAGAATCTCTGATCTGTCATTTTAATGTGTAAATTTAATTTGATTTTATATCTGAAAAATACAATTCTATGTTTATAATCTGAGTTCTAGAGAAAAATAAGACTTTTGCAGATTTATATATATTCCTTATATGTTGTATATAATTGTTTCTTTTTTCATTTTATTGTAGCAATGCCAATATATAAGTAGAGGCATTGGATTTTTGGTGTTTTAAAGAAAAGTCAATTAGGCACTCATGCAAAAGCAAAACATGTATGCACAGAATATTATTGATTTGTAAAAAAAGAGAAGAATGCAAAAATGGGAGCAAATTTTTTAAAACTCATAATTTTGGTAAGCCTCAAGGTTACCATACTTACTATTTAACTATATATGATTTTTGCCTCCACCAGCTACACCAATTATAATGAACATTTTTTAAAAACATAGGAATATTTTTTGCTCTGAGAGTAAATTCTCAAAAATATAAATCCTAAATCAGTCCAATGTATCTATTTCCTGTTAGAAATTATTACAGATTCTTAGTTGCTTAAAACAACACAAATTTACTCTATCACAGTTCTGAAGGCCAGAAGTTCTAAATCAGTGTCTATGTGTAAAGAAACCAAGATGTCAACACAGCCATACTCCATCCCAGGGCTCCAAGGGAGAGTCCATTTGTTGCTTCTTCTAACTTTGGTTGGTTACCAGCATTCCTTAGCTTGTGGCCACAACACACCAATCATCAATCTCTCTCTTCCCCTTCACATCATCTCTTCCTGGATTTGTGTATATCAATCTTCATTTGCCTACAAGTATAAAGATAGGTATGGTTGCCAGTGGTTTAGGTTAGATAATCTTCTCATATCCAAATTATTAATCATATCTGCAAATAACCCTTTTTTATATATAAGGTAGCATTTTCATGTTACATACAATTAATATGTAGATATCCTTTGCAGGGCCATTTTTTATCTGATCACAGAAAAAAGAAAAGAGAAGATTTATGTACTATTATAAAAAATATTTTAATAATATTTAACTAATGATGCCTACTGTCAAACATTGTGGTAGGCAGAAAGCCTACCTGCAAACAAGACAGGAATGATACCTTGACTCACAGAGCTTAGAACCTATTGGGGACTGAGAGTTTCCATTTTCCCATGAAGTAGGTAGAAAGAAATCTTAAGAGACTGAATGATGATTCATAGGGTAGAAGTTTGAAGGACATGGAGAAGATTGGAAATGGCTTTAATGGGAATTAGAAGTGGGAAAAAAAAAGATTGAGGACAAGCAGAATTTCTGACATTATTTGAGCAATGAGGTGTGGCAGACAAAAGTGATCTTCATCATATATCTCCAGGTCTTCACCCTCTGAGTTGATGGCTGACTTTCACATCCCATCTCTATGTATGTACCTTCATACATGAATAATGAACAGAGTGGCTAAATATTTTTTCCTGAAAGATGTAAATTGCCAGTGAAAATGTTTTCCAAACTACGTCTGGTATCAAAACCAAACCAAACCAAAACAAAAATGTATCTGCTCTGTCATTTTGGGTCTTAACACTGACAGGAAGCAGAAGCACCAGTGCTTCGCCAATGAATATGAAGTGTAAAGAAGAAAAATAACTTTACGCTATTGAAAATTTTAAGGTATGGCTATTGTCCAACCCATCCTACCCTGTGTGATATATAGGTGTGGTTAGAGACCAGGGGTGTATATTGACAGCAATTGACTGAGTTGTTAGATTTTTGTGTGTGTGTGAGCTCAGGAAATGAATGTGACATAGAAGCTAAGGTCTATGTAGTAGTTTGGGGGCAGGGGGAAGGAGGGAGGTTGTGAAGGACAGAAGATTGTTTAACAAAACTTTTAGTTCTAGCATTTTTTTGTACTTGAATCCAGTGGTTTTAATTAATAACAAAAAGAATAACATCAACTAATTTGACAAGTAAATTTTCCCAAGTTTAAGTGTTATGTCAACAAAGTACTTACTCTTAGGTTAGCATGCTAGATGGTTGGGATGGTACCATGTGCATAGAAGAGTACACACCAAATGAGACAAACTTAAGGCAAGATTTTATGGTGCACATGGAAGGATTGGAACAAAGATTTTTCTGGATTTAAGGTAAAAATAGTTTGCTTTTTTTTTCTTTTAATTTCAGGTCCCATTTTCCCCATTATGTCTTATATCCTCTCAAATACAAAATCATCATCATCATCATCATCATCATCCAACTAGTAAGAAGGAAAGGTTTTACTATGCTTTATGAAACAATTCCTAAATTATATTTTCAGATGTATTCCGTACCTTGTAGAGTAGGCATAAAGCAACACTGACAGGAAACTTTAAGAAACATTGTATAAAAATGAAAGTTACAAGTCTAAGTGGAGATCAAACAAATATAAGAATCAGAAAACACATTTCTACCTTTGTCCTTAATTCTTAGACTGGAAGCTTCTTCTAAGTCACTGAATTCAATGACAGTAGAGAGAAATAGCTATCATGTACCATTAGAGTCACTGTTAATTAGATGGTCTGCACTGCAAATGTCTAGGTTGGTCCATTTCTGCTGTCTTTCTCCTTGTGAGCATTTTGTTATCTCTTGTAGAGACCAAACATAGATGAGAAAACATATATTTTTCTTCTGTCCTTCTGAGTTCATGACTGGGGTCCCTTTTACAAAAGGTCATAACAGGAGCAAAGCATACAGATTTACTCAATATGTGAAAGCATATAGATTTACTTTATATGTGTATCATAAGACACGGGAGCTTTCATAAAGAAACAAAGACCCCCAAAAAGCTGTGAACCATCAAATAAACTTTTCCTCTTCTCATTGTTCTTGTCAGGTTTTTTGGCTAAACAAAGATTTTTACCAAAGTGGGATCATTGCTGTGACTAGAATGACCGTGTGGTTTAGAAGCTTTTGGAGCTTTTGGAATTTATGGGAGGTATTTTTGGAAAGTTTAGTGAAATAAGCTGGAAAAGCTTTACAATGTTGTGAGAGGAGCTTAAGGGGTGTTTCTGGTGGGAGCTCAGAAGACCAGAATGCTGATAGGAAGGTGCACATTAAAGACAGGGCTCATGAGGTTTCAGGGGAAGAGGAATCTATTGGAAATTGGGACAAGAGTCCATTTGAGATATATTCTGGCTAAGAAGTGTTCAGCATTTTGCCCATGACCTGAGACTTTCTTTGAGGCTGAATTTAAAGGCAATGGGCTTCTTCATGTGGTGGAAGAAATTTCTAGGCAGCATAACATTCAGGCAGTAGCATGGGTATTGCTGGCAGCTTTTAGCCATGTTCATCGTGGTACTCAGGAACAGAAAGTAAAGAAGAAAGATTTGAGAAAATTGCAGTTTGTTCAGAAAAGTGTGAGTAAAACTGGAGCTAAGGAAAGTGTAGTTGTGAAAGACATTATAATCGCTAACAAAACACTAAAGACTTGGCCCAGAGACAATAAGAAAGATGGCTTGAGGGCATCTTGGGAATTGGCATAGACCATACCCATTTCAAACTCAAGGGCTTACAAGTAAAAATTCTTCTGAGAAGAGATCAGTGGGGTACCCTGCTTGCATAAAGGGGGCTAGAATATTCTTTCACCATGCTCAGCCACTCAAAGGCTGCTGTAGTCATGGTATCTAGAAGCATGCTTCTGCTCAAGATGGTGGCAGACCTTGGCAGCAAACAGGTGGTGCTGGTTCTGCAGAAATGCAGAATGCTGGAGTTAGGTGATCATGGAGGCTTTCACCGAGAGATTTCAAAGGAAAGCCTGGGAGGCCAAGCAAAGTGCTGGAAGGTTGAAGTCCCTAAGGGCAACACCTGAGGTGGCAATGGGTGAAGATGTGAGGAGGAAGCTGAAGCTTCAGGGGAGACCCCCAAGATTAAGAAATGCCAGTACCATGAAATGTCTGCCTACGAAAGTTACAAGAATGGAGCAGAGACAAGCAAAGAGAAAGACCATGTTGGCTACACTCAGCAAGGTTATAGGAGCAGTGCTGCACAGCCTTTTGTAGAGAAATCACTAGGTCATATGTTTCAGATGCTGGAACTATGGGACTTGTTTGCTTTGGTCCCATCTCTTCTTTCTTTGCACCAATTTCTTCCTTTTGAAATGGAAATGCTGACTCTGTGCCTTTATATATTGTATATATGTAACTTGCTTTTGATTTTTTTAATAGAAGCTCATGCTAAGAGTTTGCCTTGGGTGTCTCAGAGGAGACATTGGACCTGGACTTCTAGACACTCTTGGAACTGTTGAGACTCTAGGGACTCATGGAAATGAACTAAATATATTTTGCATTATAAAATGGGAACGAACTTTCGGGGGCCAGGGATCGAATGTTATGGTTTGGATGTAAAGTGTTGTCCAAAAGTTCGTATGTAAGACAATGCAAAAAGTTTTAGAGGTGAAATGATTGGGTTATGACAGCCTTTATCCAGTTAGTGATTTAATCCTCTAATAGGGATTAATTTAGTGGTACCTGTAGGCAGTTAGGGTGTGGCTGGAGAAGGTATGTCAATGCTGATATTCCCCTGGGCTTTTACTTTGTCCCTGAAGATTGCTTGCTCTCTCTATGCTTCCTGGGTTCCTAGTTTCTTCCCTCAGCCACACTCTTCCACCCTGATGTTCATCCTCACCTTTAGGGGAGGAATGTATCTTGTTGTCTCTGCACTGAGACCATGAGTCCCCAAATAAAGTTTTCCTCTTCTAAAATTGTTCTTGTCAGATCTTTTGGTCAGAGAAAAAAAAACTGACTAAATTAACCTGCTTCAGGGGAAGGTCAGAAAATCCTACCTAGATTTTATGGGCTGCTTCATATTCAATATGCCAACATGCTTTTTTTTTTTTTTTTGAGAGAGAGTATGTCTTGAATCTTATAACAAATTAATTTATTATTGAATTATAAAAATACATCTCCTTGTTCATGTTAAATTGTTGACAAATATCAATATCAAGAAGGAATATTTCTTCACCTACGCTTTGTACAAACTGACAGCACAATCACTATCTGGCGGTAGCTTAATAAAAGGCAAGCACAAGTATCCAACTTGGTTAGACAGATATGTCCTCTTGAGCAGTCTGAGATCTTAGTTTAAAATCTAATTTTTACATTGTATGTATTTTGATGTTTTTAGAAAATTATGAGTGTTGAGATCTTCCAGATAAAGTGTATTGCTTAAAAAGAGATAAGAATCTAGGACAAATCTCACAAATTCCAATATTTAAGATCTAGCAGAAGAGGATGTGTAAAAAAGTATTTAGAAGAAGGATCTATTTCAGAAAGTAGCAAGAGAATACTGCTCTAAAAGACAGTGAAAATTCAAACTCTTTAAATTTTTATTTTATCCTTAGAGGATGAAGTCAGAAAAAAAAAAAGTATAGAAAATTTGTCCCCATATAATCTCTGTACTAGTTTCCAATAGTCAGCTTACTGCTTCACTTAAAATCCTTGCCACATTTTAACATGAGCCAACTATTTTTAATCAATAATTTTGCCCCTATGCTTTGCTAGTTCTTATCTTCAAACCTCCAGACTACATGTTAAATATTTAAAACCTCTGGCCAAAATTTTTTTCTAGAAAAACAGTTGCTTTGAAAGTTCCCTTTTAAAAGCAAATAGGAGCCTGTTGTATTTTCCTTTTTTTACTTGGGGCTTGTATTTGTTTTGATCAGGGCAGTGGGTTGGAAGATCTTGAACTCATGTTCTAAGCTAGTTATTGGTCTCTGGGAAGCCAATTGCAACAGATTCAAGAGCTTAGCATATTTAAAAACCTAGAGTCTTCCCTAATAAATTAAGGAAAG